ATGAGAAATGAATGCGTTATTGTTTATTTTTAATTTCATAAAAATATTTTTTTACAAAATAATACATCTGTTTTTAAATTAAAAGTTCCACCTTCTTTTCGTATCCGGGATACGGTTCTGCAACTAATGTTCAAAACCTCCGCCGCTATGTTTATAACGGAGATGTTTTCTCTACTTGTTTCTTTCTTTCTTTGAAAATAATTAATAACATTCCAAACAAGTTTTCTACTCTGAGAATTTAAAACTTCTCGGATCATTTCGTTGAAAGTTAACAACAATAACACCAACAAAAACAACGACAACAATAATTACATAGAAAAAATAACTTAAACTGTGTATGTAGAGAGATGACTATTCGCAAGACAGGATATCTTCCGTTTGTAAGAACGAGAAAAACGATATGCCTTTTGTGAGCATTATTTATTGGGGACTTTGCCTTCTTATTTCGACTGTACTATAGTTGAGTATGGATTACACGAAGTAGAATATAACAACACACAAGTTATAAGTTTTTCCAAAAACATGAGGAATCTTTAAAAATGCAAATTTAAAAATGGTAACGGAATTATTGTTTTACAACAGTTTAAAATGGTACAAAACCGGTTACAAAATGGAATTTGTTTTATATTATCTTTTTAGGGAGATTCAGGTGGGCCCATGGTAAAAGAAGGGTACCTCATAGGGATAGTGGCGTGGTCATTTGGATGTAAAAAAGGTAAACCTGAGATGTTCACCAATGTGACGTATTTCCTTAAGTGGATACGAAATATCATTTCCAATTATTAATAAAAATAATTTAGTTTGTTTCTTTACTTACTTATTAAATTGTATTACACTATGAAGTGTACTTATTACCATACTAATAAACGTCATTTAATGCATTCGATTCTCAGTGTTAAACATGTTAACACATGTGCTTTCGACGCTATATCTCATTTCTTCTTCAATCATTTCTGTATCGAGTGTACATAGTATACTTCATTTACTTTCTGCAGCGATGTGTTCCTTCCAATGTCTTGGATGCACGCTAGCAAAATCGTAGGTAGGGAGATAAAAGCTCATTATACTCTCGACTCTTGTTCATTAAACATACTTTTTCATACAGTACCTGCCAAAAGTTTTGCTCAATCATGAATAGTAGTGCGAGTCGAAAACAAGCGTTAAAGCCTTTAATATGTCTTCAAATATAAATAAACATCTCGTTGATATTTTCAGTAGTAAATGGTACCAATAACAGCACATTTGAGCAATGCAATTGTAGTGGATAAAATGGTCAATTTTTCCGTGCAGTACTGTACGGATTATACGCTCCTCACCGGTTATGAGTTTGGCCGAGAGTTGTATCCTTCCTTTTCTGGCCTAGTGCTGTTCTTTTCTACTTTGCGCCGGTCAAACTGAAGGTCACATCGCTACAGAAAGTAAACAAAGTATAGTCGTGTTGCCGTAAATTGTTTATTAAACCATGCACAGATCTGTTTTTATTTCAAATACTTTTGGAGTCAGTGGCGTGGTGTAGGGGGTGTTACGGGGGTTATGGGTTCCGGGCGGCGTAAACGTGGAGGCGGAAAAATTGAAAAAAGCTGAAGGAATAGTCGCACCCCAACAGTTTACTTTATGAAAGGGACGAAAGCTGTCTAAGCTCCTATAGCACAAAAATGTACATCCGGACAATACCTACGATTATAAAAGCTGAAATCGTAACAATAGTAGAAAAATACACCAAAAAGCAAAAACAGGAATCGTCTGGTGGACTGTAGATTTCGCGTAAAATTTAAATTCATAGTGTACAAATAATAACATTAAACCAATTCCTAAACCCGTATCCCGGTATGTTTGAAGAAATTCCACTTCAGTACCGTGTGTTGCATAATTACACGTTGTATTTTTTTTTCTCCTTTAATGTACCTTTTCATTAGTGGGCTTGATATATGTGTGATCATTCTTCAATTCCATTAATGAAGCAATTGATGATAGTGGTAACGAAAATATCATATCTAATTCAATCTTAACTGAAAATTTGGGTTGTTGCGAGAACGGTCAAAATAAAGAAAGTAGTGTTTTTACAAAATCCAACAGAACAAATTACGGAAAGCAACCCACTATATCCTCCAAGGTACTAGGAACACCTATTCATTGTAAATACTATCTATTAAAAAGGTATGTTTATGCGAACATCTGAATTTTCATCAATTGCCATAAAGTTAATTCGCACTATAAATTGTGCGTGTCAAATAAAAATCCTACACATAAAACAATGGTTATAATATTATTGGAATACTGTTGTAACATTGTTCAAAAATACGTAATGGTAATTATTAATAAATGTCTAGTAGGAGGTGTATTACTATATATATCTACCGTAGTAGTCGATACATAATAATTCACTTATGTGATGTTGCATTTTCATATGTCTATATAAAATTAATATTTAAGTGGTATTTGTAGCTGAATACTATTCGGTAATGAAGATCTTTTATTGTATTTTTTTTATCCTTTCTGCAAGCGGTAAGTTACGATATGATGTTAAAAATAAATAAATAATAATAATAACACTTTGACGAGTCTAAGCGATTTAGCTTAGACCCACTATAAAACAGTTTAAATGAAACGGCGTATATTTGTCTATACTCTGATATTCCTTTCAACAGAGTAGAGAATTGGATGTTGAGAGTAAATTAAGTCACCATGAAATCGTTTCAATAATTATCTAAAAAATGTGCTATTCTTTGTATACCAATTAGCGGTTTATCATAATTTTTAACAATTCTTTAGTTGACTCACCGTATAACTAAGTTGACCCTATCGCCATTTTACAAGAAATGTAATTAAGTGGTACCTAAATAAATTATATTATGGCATATTTATTATGCTCCTTGGTAAAATTTTAAGTTAGTGAATTATTATGTAAATTCTTTTTTATTTCAAATGTATAGTCTCTCTGTACTTTGGTAAAAACTTAGAGACTATTACATCGTAAATTGATCACCTGACATTTAATTAAATAATGTTTCTCTTTTTCCATCGAATATATGAAAAGTTTTCACTCTTTTGAATTAAGTAGTATATATAGGACTAAATGGAATAAAATTGTATAAAACTTTAAAAATTTCCGAAACACTACAGTTTCAGTACGTAATACTACATTATTGTATGGAATTGACAGTTAACGTTAACGAGTCTGAATATTTCTCAGTTTCGCATAACATCGCAAATACTGATAAGCATACAGTTACAGAAACATCTAATTCAGTCATATTTATTATAACGAAGATTATCTCAATCGTTATATTTTAGCAATCGCCGCTGGCCGGGATGAGTTTCACACTGAAGGTAATAGAAATCATTACAAAACAAACTACTAAACAGTTAGACCTAATTTTATTCTCTATCATCTTATCAAAAGGCGGATTTTACAATCGTGTTAGTGGACATAGAGATGACATAGAAAGAATGATTATAAATGGACAAAAGGCTGACATTAAAGACTACCCTTATCAAGTGATATTGTACTATAACAATTACGATAAGTGCGGAGGGTCAATTATTGCAGAACAATTCATTCTGACTGCTGCTCATTGCCTTCAAAGGTAGGTAAAATAACGAACATTAAAGTGCTTATAGTTGCATTGTATGCATTGACAGAAATGGATTTGCTATAAAATTTTCATAAATGAAATAATACACACATTTAAATATCTAAATAAAAGACATGGCGTTATCATTCAACTTAATAGTGGCACTTATGAAAACGCAGCAAATAACAACTATGAAATCATTATTGGTCGTCAATGCTGTGTAATGCGTTCATGATATACACATCCCACAATGTATTAATTATGCTGGTTTTAACCACAATTTCATTACGAACTTGTTGTATGCACATTAGGTAGAACTATATTTTTACAGTGATGAAGCATCAAAATATATGGTCAAAGCTGGAGTATCGAATATAGACGAAGATGGACAAGAACGAAAAGCCGTTGAACTTTTTATACACGAAGATTTTTCTTTTGATGAACCTGAATTTGACATTGCAATTGTACAGGTATTCTCAAATTATAATCAATTTCAGTTATTTAATTCAATTATTACATATCACGTCCGTACCTATCTAGAAACGATTCTAATCGTAAGTAACATTTTAAACCGAACATTTGGATCTTAGTGATTAAGAAAAGTGAAGAGTAATTGCTTTGCCTCACGAGTAATTAACAAAGTCTCAATTATCAATATTACGTTAGTTAACTGCTTTGGAATTCAGTAATGTAGCGACCGCGAGCGTGATTGTGTGAGATCGGGCATACGTGTGTGTGAGCGGCTTATCGATTCGCCGACTAGCCGCGGGCGCTTTTCTTCATGTGCGCCGTATCTGTAGACGTGTGTGTCGTACCTGCATTCTGGAAAGCAATTAAACCGTTCAAAGAAAACGAGACTTCTCTGGACGGCTGGAGAATGTTCCCGAAAGGAGGCAAGGGAGTAGAAATAAATTGACCGTTACAAAGGCGAATCAAGAGATAAATTGAAAGTGATAGTGCTTTGGGAAACGCCTAAGCGATATAAATATGTATAAGGTTTGGTACATTGAAAAAAGTAATATTTTCCTTTATTATTCATTGAGCAGCAATTCTTGCTAAGCAATAGGTGCATCCGTCGTTCCTCCGGCATCGATTTATCAAAAGATTATTTATAGGTTGATGAACCGTTTGAATTCTCAAATGCAGTGAGAATAATAAAGTTGCCTAATGATGATCAAAGCGCCAAAGCGGGTGATATTGTAACAGTAACAGGATTCGGCCTTACTCATAGTCCCGAAGCACCTGGAAACGAAACTGGTGACCTTTACTTCATCGATGTTCCAATAGCATCCCCGAAAGAATGTTCTAAACACATTAAATCAGACAAAATGATTTGTATAGTTTCAAATACGCCTCCAAGAAAAGGCACTTGCTACGTAAGTAAACACATTCTTTATGATTTTCTAATAAATTCACAATAAACATTACTTCAGGATAGCAGTAGTGTTTGTATTACACAAAATAGAAAGGGATAATTCCCTAGCTTTAATTTTCCAAAACCATGAGGAATCCTTAAAAAATGCAAATTTAAATGTTTTCTAAATATTATAAGTTTTGATGACCTTACATTATTCGGTTTCGTTTCTGTTTTATTTAAAAATTGCATTAAAACAACTACAGAACCGAATTCGCTTTTATTAATTTTTTAGGGAGATTCAGGTGGGCCCATGATGAAAGATGATTACCTCGTAGGGATAGTTTCCCTTGGCTTTGGTTGTGATACAGGTGAGCCTGAGTATTTTACCAGTGTGACGTATTTTCTTCAATGGATACGCGATATTATTCCAAATAATTGATAAATATGTTTTACTTTGTTCCTTTATTTACTTACTAACCTGTATTACACAATAAAATGTACTTATTATCTTACTAATAAACGCCATTTACGGTATGCGATTCACAGTGTTACACATGTCAGACAGCTAGTTGTTCGTCTATCCAAAAAGCTTTCTACAGCGAAGCACTTGTTGTTATTAAAAGAAGAAAAACTGTAATTTTTTGACAGACACTCCCATAAAAAAAGCACTAGATTAGATTACTCTTCGCAAATAGTTAAGGATGTGGGTTGTTCTAGTTTTAGGGAAATGCGAAGATTAGCTCAGGATAGGAAGGAGTGGAGGTACGTGTCCAACCAGTCTTAAGACTGATGACCTTATGATGATGATGATGATTGGATATTACTATTAGGACACTGCTCAAATATAAGTAATGATAATAATTATTAATAAGTACCTAGTAGGAGGCGTATTTCTGTATATAGGTACCATTGTGGCCGATGCCTCTTCATTCGTTTGTATGCTATTGTTGCTAACACACTTATGGTCAAAATAACCGAAATTGTTTTCTTTTTAATACAAAAGAAACATTAGAATGAGAAAGAATTGTAAAGGTGATCTACAAATTTTAACATGTTTTAAAAGAATCCTGGGATTACAAATGGTTTTGGAAGATTCAGGTGTGCCTATGGTGAAAGATTACGTCATAGGGATAGTTTCGTGGTGAAAGTGGTAAACCTGAGATATTCACTACTGTAACGTATTTCCTTCAATGAATACGAAATATAATTTCCAATTATTAACAAAAATAATTTAGTTTGTTTCTTTACTTACTTATTAAATTGTATTACACTGTAAAGTGTACTTGTTATCATACTAATAAACGTCATTTACTGTATTCGATGGTCAGTTTTAAACATGTCTGAGTGCTAGTTGTTCGTCTTTCGAAAAGGTTTTCTCCAACGAAACACTTCCTGTTATTAAAAGAACAGAATTTGCAAAATTAATTATTAACGCATGTTCTTTTGACGTTATATGCCTTATTTCCTTCTATTTTCTGTTAAGTATTAAACCAGCCTGACATAGAATGGCTGTTTTGTTACAATCCCTTGGCCAGTAATTTCAGCAAGTGTATGTCACAATGTGTAGGAAGTCTTTATGTGTGCTTTATGTTTAGATTTATTGCAAAAACACCGTATCGCCTATGTGCATCGGTCTCACAAATATTTTACTTAACTCACTCCGCAAGTTGAGTTCCTTGACTATGACATCGATTTTCTAAATTTCTTTGCAACTAAATTTGTATTAAAACAAAATACCTACCATGTAAATTGACAATCTTATCACATGCAATAGTTCATTAGTTGTGATGATATAAAAAAATCACCAAGTGCCGGTGAGAATTTTCTTTTGTTTTTTAATGTACTACTATTTCATTAATGGGCCTGATGTGTGTGATCATTCTTCAATTCTATAAATAAAGCAATTGATGATGGTGGTAACGAAAATATCAAATTCTATCTCAACTGAAAATTTAGGTTGTTGCGAGAACGGTTGAAATAAAGAAAGTAGTGTTTTTAGAAAATCCAACCAAAAACCCACCATATCCGCTAAAGTACTAGAAACACCTATTCATTATAAATACTATTAAAAAGGTATCTTTATACAAACATCTAAATTTTCATCAATTGCCATAAAGTTAATTCGCACTTTAAATTGTGCGTGTCAAATAAAAATCCTACACATGAAACAATGGTTATAATATGATTGGAATACTGTTAGGACATTGTTCAGAAATAAGTAATGGTAATTATTAATAAATGCCTAGTAGGAGGTGTATTACTATATATACCGTAATTGTCGATACATAATAATTCGTTTATGTCCTATTCCATAGGCCTATACAAAATTAATATTTAAGTGCAATTTGTAGCTGAAAACTATTCAGTAATGAAAATCTTTTATTGTATTTCTTTGATCCTTTTTACAAGCGGTAAGTTACGATATTATGTTAAAAATAGATAAATAATAGTAATAATACGTTGATGAGTCTGAATATAACAATAATAATTTACCAAAGGATAGACATTTAGCTTGGACCCACTATAAAACAGCTTAAACGAAACGGCCTATATTTGTCTATATTCTAATATTCCTTTCAACAGAGTAGACAATTAGATATTGATTAAATTAAGTCAGAANTTTTTCTTTTTGTTTTATGAGGGAATAATATAATTAATAATAGTGGATTATACGTATTTAGCCACGCGTTTAAAAATAAACTTAGAGACGAAATTTATAATGTACAATTGCGTTTTTGGTTTTGTCTAGTTTTTGTTATTCGTAAGGTGTCTCATGTACCAAGGTAGTGTACTACTAGGCCACCGTCCGGTAGCTTGGTAGCTTCTGTATCCTCATGCGAAGTCCCATTGGACATACATTTCTAAGTGTACCTAACTAGTCAATAAATAAATAAATAAATAACACCTGACATTTAATTAAATAATGTTTCTCTCATTTTCCATTGAATATATGAAATGTTTTCACTCTTTTAAATTAAGTAGTATATCTACAACTGAATAGAATAAAATTGTATAAAACTTTAAACATTGCCGAAACACTACAGTTTCAGTATGTAATACTACATTATTATATGGAATTGACAGTTAACGTTGACGAGTCTGAATGTTTCTCAGTTTCACCAAACATCGCAAATAAATGATAAGCGTACAGTTACCGAAACACCTAATAATCATATTCATTCTAACGAAGATTATCTCAATCGTTATATTTTAGCAATCGCCGCTGGCCGGGATGAGTTTCACACTAAAGGTAATAGAAATCTTTACAAAACAATTTACTAAACAGTTTGACCTCATTTTATTCTCTACCTTCTTATCAAAAGGATTCTATCCGAAACCAAGTAACAAATTTGGCAGAGATTACAAAGAAATAATTATACATGGGCAAAAGGCTGACATTAGAGACTACCCTTATCAAGTGATATTGTATTATAACAATTACGCTAACTGCGGAGGGTCAATTATTGCAGAACAATTCATTCTGACTGCTGCTCGTTGCCTTCATAAGTAAGTAAAATAACAAACATTAAAGTGCTTATAGATACATTGTATACATTGACAGAAATGCCAAAAGAATTTCCTATAAAATTTAAAGCTATTTTCTATACAAGAGTTGCAGTGGCGGATTAATAATTGTGTCAAACGTGATCCCTAAATAAGCCATTTATTTTACATGGACATTCCAGCAAATTGGTACTTTATTAAATAAAATAATTCGAAGTGGTCTGTATTCTGTCGAAACTGCCGAACGCGGATCGCGATTTCGATCTTTGTGGATCGTATCAGCGCGTCACAGGCAGTTCCGACAGAACACAGACCAACTTTTACCTGCTGTCTTAACAGTACGTTTCAGAAAATACTACAAACGGCACAGTGAACGCCATCTGTAGCACGATGCTACATTTTAGGATTACGTATTTTTCAACAAGGTCCACTTGTGTGGATATCTACTTGCTGAAAACGAATCCAGGCGTAGCAAACCTCAACGTGATAGGCACGTTAGCTTAATCGAATAAAATAAATAAGTGGTCTGTATTCGACGCACTGATGAGATCCAAAAAGATCGAAATCGCGATCCGCGTCTGGCAGTTTCGACAGAATACAGACCACTTCGAATTATTTTATTCGATTAAGCTAACGTGCCTATCACGTTGAGGTTGGCTACGCCTAGATTCGTTTTCAGCAAGTAGATATCCACACAAGTGGACCTTGTTGAAAAATACGTAATCCTAAAATGTAGCATCGTGCTACAGATGGCGTTCACTGTGCCGTTTGTAGTATTTTCTGGTACTTTATTGTTTATAGACTAAATGTTGTTTGAAGATTAGTTTTCCAAATTCGTTTGGATATGTATAATTGCGGTTTGTTGCGTTTAGGTCATTTATTTACTGCCTTCACTTTTACTATTTCTTGTGGTAATAAAATCAAATGAAAAAACTTTTGAAGTGAAACAACCGAGCAAGTTAGGTTGAAGCGTCGGCAACGGTGAGTAGTACAGTGTAAACCTAGAATCTAAAATTGAATTAAAGTGAATCATTTAAGGATATTATAAAATATCCGAATGTCACAAAAACAACAAAAGTTGAAAACAGTCCTGAAAACAGATATTAGTAATAGATTCAAAGGCAGCATGGATCAAACAGCTCTAGAACGTATTACTGATGTTATACAACACGAGATTAAGTTACCCATTAATAATGTAATAAATACATGAATGGTGGAACTATAATGAACTGTAATAATAGTAGTGGTGTTACTACAGCAAATAAACTATTCAACATACAAAAATCAACTAGGTGAAACGTTTCAAGTTACAGTTCAGAAACCCAAAAACCCTGGAATAAAAATTTTCGGTATTTTAATGATATGGATGTGGTTAGTTTAGAAGGAGATATAAGTAATTTCCTTTTATAAATTTCAAAAGGTATATCGGGTAATACAAACTTTTAAATATCAAAATATCAATATCCAATTTTGCGAAAGTTTATGAAAAATTAATATTTCTTTAATATTGACACTGAAGATGCTTTAGTTGTTGTATCAGAAACAATTCTTGAAAGCTTAGATAATGGTCTTCCGACGGTTGCCACAATTATGGACCCAAAAAAAAACCTTTGATACTGTTGATCACCGATTTCTGTTTAATAAGCTATACAATTAGGCTATTCGGGATACTGCTCTTCACTTAATTAAATACTATTTGAATAATAGATCACAGTTTGTCAAAGTGAGTTCTGCCATAAGCACTAAATATAAAGTCAATATATGGGAGTACTTAGCACAGGGCTCTATATTGGGATATTTACGTTTTCTGGTCATATATTTGATATCTCCATCAACGGACGGATAATTTCGTATGTCGATGACAGGATATTAGTGTGTGCAAATAAATTCCGAGATTCACTCTCTGAAGGAATTAATGAATTACTTAGATTTACGGATAGGTGGCTTACTGATAATAAGTTAACCTTGAATACTGATAAAATAGTCCAAGTATAAATTGAAAAAATAGGTATTAAATTATCGCTAATTTGTTTTGTTTTGTTTTTTTCTTTTTGTTTTATGAGGGAATAATATAATTAATAATAGTGGATTATACGTATTTAGCCACGCGTTTAAAAATAAACTTAGAGACGAAATTTATAATGTACAATTGCGTTTTTGGTTTTGTCTAGTTTTTGTTATTCGTAAGGTGTCTCATGTACCAAGGTAGTGTACTACTAGGCCACCGTCCGGTAGCTTGGTAGCTTCTGTATCCTCATGCGAAGTCCCATTGGACATACATTTCTAAGTGTACCTAACTAGTCAATAAATAAATAAATAAATAACAATGAAAAAGAAAGCCTTATTTCCTCTTCGTCTGAATTTCTAAGGAATAGACAAAAAACAGAAAGTATCAAAATACAAGATCTAAGATAGTATTTAAAAATAAACCAAATTGTTCTTTTTTTAATACAAAATAGAAAAAATATAATTGTAAATTAAACTGTAATCAAACCCTTTTTTATAAACTTGTTGTATGCACATTAGGTAGAATTATATTTTTACAGTAAGAAAGCAAACAAATATAAGGTCAAAGCTGGAGTATCGAATATAGACGAAGATGGACAAGAACGAAGAGTCGTTAAAGTTTTTATACACAAAAGGTTTCATTCTGATCAACCTGACTTTGACATTGGAATTGTAAAGGTATGCTCAAATTAACACCAATTTCAGTTATTTAATTCAATTATTACATGTCCGATCCGTACCTATCTAGAAACGATTCTATTCGTAAGTAAAATTTTAAACCGGACATTTGGATGTTAATGATTAAGAAAAGTGAAGAGTAATTGACTGACGAGTCATTAGCAAAGTCTCAGTTATTACTATTAATATTACGTTAGTTAACTGCTTTCAAATTCAGTACCCAGTGCTTTGGGAAAAGCCTACGCGATATAAATATGTATAAGGTTTGGCACACTGAAAAAAATCATATTTTCCTTTATTATTTATTGAGCAGCAATAAGAAATAATTTAAATAAGATTTTAAATTAGATATTTTTGCTAAGCAACAGGTGCATACCTCGTTCTTCCGGCATCAATTTAACAAAAGATTATTTATAGGTTGATGAACCGTTTGAATTCTCAAATGCAGTGAGAATAATAAATTTGCCTAATGATGATCAAAGCGGTAAAGTGGGCGATATTGTAATAATAACAGGATTCGGTCTTACTAATGTTCTCGAAGCACCTGAAGACGAAACTGGTGACCTTTACTTCATCGATGTTCCAATAGCATCCCCGAAAGAATGTTCTAAACACATTAAATCAAGCAAAATGAATTGTATAGTTTCAAATACGCCTCCAAGAGAAGATGTTTGCTTCGTAAGTGAATACATTTCTTATGATTTTCTAATAAATTCACACTTGTTGAAAGTGATAATTCACTAGCTTCAATTTTCCAAAACCATGAGGAATCCTTAAAAAATGCAAATTTAAATGTTTTCTAAATATTATAAGTTTTGATGACCTTACATTATTCGGTTTCTTTTCTATTTTATTTAAAAATTGCATTAAAACAGCTACAGAACCGAATTCGCTTTTATTAATTTTTTAGGGAGATACAGGTGGGCCCGTGATGAAAGATGACTACCTCGTAGGTATAGTTGCCTTTAGATTTGGATGTGATAGAGGTGAGCCCGAGTATTTTACCAATGTGATGTATTTTCTTCAATGGATTCGCAATATTATTTCGGATAATTGATAAATATATTTTACTTTGTTCCTGTATTTACTTTCTAAACTGTATTACACAATAAAGTGTACCTATTGCCTTATTAGTAAACGTCATTTACAGTATTCGATTGTCAGTGTTACACACGTCAGACTGCTAGTTGTTAGTCTTTCAAAAAAAGTTTCTGCAACGAAACACTTCTTTTTATTCAAAGAAGAAAATTTGTAAAAGAACAAAAACTGTCATTTTGAGAGACACGCCCATAAAAGAAGCACTAAAACAAGAAATAAGAAAGAAGTAAATAAATTATAAATTTCATATGTTACAGTGGATGGATTTAATTTAAACTTTATAACTCCTAATACAATCAGAAAAAGTGCAACCAACGTCCATTCCTTACGTTAAAGGTGTCTTTTTGAATACTGACTTTAGTGTACACTAGCTTTTTAAAAATACTTAAAGCCTTTCCAGCAATTCCATCCGCACAATCAGAGAATTATATTGGGTGCGTTCCGTATGCCATGAACCTTCAGTCATACAGCCCAGCGCAAAATGAGATACAGTTTGGGGCTGTGACTTGATGCGAATCAAAGTGGGATATTGCAAACCATATAAACAAATATGACTTCGTCAGAGTTTTCATATGGTGTTTGCATAGTGATCGTATTGTCGTAAATTATTTATCGTAATATGGATAGCTCTGATGAAGGATGCAATTAAAAAAAGTACAACGTGTAATTATACAACACGCTACTGAAGTGAAACTTCTTTAAACACACAAACATACCGGGATAGAGGTTAAGAAATTGGTTTAATGGTATTATTTGTATACTATGAATTTAAATTTTACACTATACATGCCGGAGTTGCCTGTAACGAACGTTGCATTGGAGCGCGCTCACGGCTCGAGCGGTACCCACTACGAACTCGATTACGTCGCCGAGTAGAAGGGGGACATCCGTTGCATGATTTCGTTACATAGCAACTCGCATGAAACGAACTTACCCTACCGTGCGTTTTTTCTTCACTTTTTAAAAAAACAACTGGCTCTTAAGTGTCATTCATTCCTTACTCCTTTCCCTTGCTTCTCACACAACGGTTTAACAAAATTCTTGAACGATTCCTTATAGGTAAATAAGTCGTTTGAATTAAGTACGAAAGCGGTAATAGTGAATAAGTTGCCTGACGATACATGTTTTAGAGTGGGCGATATTGCAACAATAACAGGATTCGGCCGGACTACTGTACATCCAAGTGATATACCAAATGCAGACCTTTTTGCCTTAAAAGTTGCATTGTCGTCCCGCGAAAAATGTATTTGCGGGCGCTGAAATAACAGAGAGTGATTTGTACAGATACGCCACCAGGTTATGGTGTATGTTTTGTAAGTGAACAGATATTCTAGGATTCCTTCATAAAATTCACGGGATAATAATTCAGTATGTTTTGTACAAAATAGTATATGACCTAATACAATTTATAATTTTCCGTAACAAGGAATCTTCCAAACAATATGAGTCTAAAAATGTTTTCAGATGGGTAAGTAGCGACGTTATCGTTTTATCAACAGCATAAGCATTGTTAACCGTTTTCAATTGTATTTATTTTCTATTTTATTTGAAACAGAGTTTGTTACCCATTAATTCTTTAAGGGGATTCAGGTGGGCTCGTAGTAATAGATGTATCATTGGGCTAGTTGCGCACGAAAGGCATGTATGCTCTTGGTGAACCTGACAAATTCACCAATGTAATGTATTTTCTTAAATGGATACACAATATTATTTAGAATTATTAATAAAAATAATTTAGTATGTCCCTTTTATTATATACTGCATGGACTAAACTTTATTATAACAGTACCATTTTTACCATTCACACTCGAGATCTTACTTTGGATAATTAATAATCAGGTTTACTGTTTTAATGTCCGTTATGATATAGACAGTTGATCTGTAAATAAGCTCAAATTAAAGGATTTAATGAAGTTGATAGAGAAAATGAAATTGACTAAAGCAACGAGGTTGAAAATGAGGCTGATACAGAAATAGAAAACCAGATTTATGAAGGGAAGAACGAAGTTGACTGCGAATGATAAATAGCAGAACGAAATGAAGTTGATGGCAGCAATGATATTAGAAGTGGAAGAGAACTAGAAAGAAAACAAAAGGCATACAACAAACAGAAACTTAATTATTAATAGGTGTAAAATAAACATTTTGTGTGTAATCATAAATGAAACAATTGATGAACGAATCATCTACTGCAACCTTAACTAAAAAATTTGCGTTCATCCAAAAATGCTCCAAAGAAGTGCCTTAGAAGGCAAACCGAAATGAAACGTAATATAGGCTTGTTCGGAAAGTCATTTCGTTTTTTTGTGGAAATGAAAGACAATTTTCGTATAATAAACAAATACTTTATTAAATTATATATTGACCGTTCTGGTCCAACACCTTTTGCCATCTTTCTGGTAGTAGCATAATTCCACGCTCATGGAACATGGGGAACCCATACATCGAGCTTCGAGGATAATCCCAGGCCTTTCAAGTGGTCATAAACTGTTGAATTTGATAAATTTAACCTCAATCCGATCTCACGTGTTGTTATTCGCCGGTTCACATCAACTAATGCCTTTATCG